GCCTTCCGTGAGGACTGAGTATCCCCCCTTTCTTAGAGTCCATCCAGTAGTGGACAGAACAGAGTCCTCAAGAAAACCTGTTTGATACTTTCTGCATAATTTAATGGTAGAGATGTCAAAAAAGTCTTTCACAGTCATCCATTGATAATTAATAATATATATAATGTTGATGCTGGTAAAATAGTGGTAAATCTGAAAGAACAAGGTTCTTGTTGGTATTATTTTGCTCTCCACCAAGAATAACTTTGTATCAAAACTGTCATTAAACAATGTCTCAGGCATCAGGCAGCATACTCATAACTGTTTCTTGTAACATCTTATGAAGGAGCTTTTAAAGCCAGTAAACTCTTCAGACGTCTGGTTCCCATCACCACCTCTGTGAACAATTCTGATTGTAGTTTCTCTAGAAGGGAGCATATCATATCTAATCACTCTGAATTAATTTGATCACATTTTCTGATGTAACTATGCAGAGATTTGTTTTTGTGTGTTTTTTAGTGAGTTAAATTCACCCTTTAATGTTTACTATGTCAGCTACTCAGCAGTGTTGGGAAGAAACCATGGGGAATCCATGTGATTAGCCCCAGTTTTAAGCATCCATTTTGTTGTATCTTCTCAAGTCTTCAGCACTCTTTCAGTGACACCGGGTGAAGAAGGAAACTAACTGGAGTGCAGTGAATCCAATTAGCCTTCTTGGCTTTGTGTAAGACCTGTGAGGTGAGGGAGTGTAGCTTCTTAATGCAGAGCTAACCGCTGTGCTAGCATAACCGCAGCAATTACTGCACCGTTCAGACAAAATCACATACACTTACATTATAGTCAACACAGCTCCTCAACATTCACCCACAGCATTTACATAATCGAATTTCTGCAGTTTGTTGTCACTCATTTAACCCCTGAATCGCTGTTTCATTACAGATAATGGCGCACGTTTTCTGCTACCTGCTTCACCAACCATGGATCGGCTAATTAGTGGCTTTTGACTGGCCTTCTAGGAGCAAGAGGGAGATCCTTATTAAGGTGGGGCTGCTGTCGGTGGGTCGGCGGGGGAGGTGCACGGTGATTAATTCGGAAACGTGATAGCATGTAATTCTCATTACCTTTCGGGGGTAATTGCATTTTACGTGGAGCAAATGGGCTAGGCGGCGAAGACTGCTAACAAGCAGATGTTTGAAAAGGGAGACAAGGCAGTTAGCAGCCTGCTTGATTCTGTTTAACTCAATCTTGAGTCCAACTCGAGAGCTAAAACCTCTTAGACAGATTCTCACTTTGAGGGCCCCTGTCATGGAAAACTAACGTTTCCTCAATTTCTGTCTAATAAAACAGGTACAGTCACTCCCTAGCACATATGCTACCGGAAACTGGATTTCTCAATGAACCCAAGGTGCATTCCAATTGCCCTTGTAGTTCCCTAAAAAGTGTACTACACAGGGTTTTTAGACATTTTAAGGGTGATTCCACACCACAGGAAGTGAAAACATTTCGTTGGAAGGGAACTTCAAACTGCAGAGAGAGTGATGAACAGCTTATCACTTTGCAGGAAGCTGCAGGAAAGTTTACTCATCGGTCATTGCAGGTCTCTTGAAGCTGTGTGTTTGATTATGACACTGTAGTACATTCCAAATTAAGGTGTTTATCAACTCCAGTTCCCTTAACCGACATCCAGCACTCAAGTGTGTAGGGAACATAACAGTCCTGCTGAGGGACCCTGCAGAATAGAACGCAGCTCCTGACTTTCTGAGTTGGGGGCATGTCCACAAAAAAGCATTGGTGGCCGCTGATAGCTGGATTGTAAACTGGATTCCAATATTGACATCTTTGTAAGCCATACACTGCAGGCTAATGTCATTTCTAATCTTTTACTCTCATCAACACATAAAAAAGTGCACCAAAAAACGGATCATTTAAATGTATAAAAATATTACTCATTTGCGCAACCATGAAAGCCATGATGTTAATAATCAAGTTGTAATTACTTAATTTCTAGACAGGTTGTTTGCACCATCAGGTCAAAAATTCAAATGTACTTATTTTAGTGAGAAGAACAAACTCAAAAAGACAAGCAATGAGAGAGTATAGGGTGGAGTCACCCAGAATTCCTAGCGAGTCAGTGGATTTCTGTATATTAGTTCTTTTTTGGCCTTCAGATGTTGTTTTCGAACAAACAACACTTTCACATGTTATATGTGGATTAAACAGAAGTTTGGATGCACTTTACATGTTTCAGGTTTTCTAACCATGAATGTGTTTAGTCCAGTTGTAACAAAACAACTTAAATGACTGCCAATGCAGTAATTTTTCTCAAAGCTGTTATTAGATTGTGTAACTCTGAAAACTCTTTTTGAAAAGGTTTTCTTACACATTTCAGCTTGTGATCACAAATACGTTGATGTGAAAATTAAAGAAGCAAATGTAGTTACTTGAACTTAAAAGTTCAAGTTTCTGAACCAGCACAGTTTGCGTGATGTATACTAATACTTTGTTAAATTTATAAGTTTGAGTGTATTCAACACCGTGCCTTACAGATAACTTAAAAAACTGAGTTTCAAAATCTACTCATTTGTTTCAACAAACTACCTCTAATAGTTTGAGTAAACTTAACTTTTCAGCACTCGTAAAAAGAAGGTTCTTTCAGGAGTTTTAGGAAAGACAATGATTCCCTATAGAACCAGGAACACTCAAAGAACCATTTGCATGCTTAAAGGGTTCTTTACATGGTGAAATGGATCTTCAGGTTGATGGAGAATGTGATGTAGATTCTGTATAGAAACTTTTTGAAAATGGATCTATATAGCACCAAAAAGGGTTCTGCTATTGATCTGGTGTCTGAAATTGTTACAAATGTATATAGAGCATTTTGAAATGAAACTCTTCATAAATCTACCTATTATTATACCTTGGCAGTTTAGCTCTGCCCATTAACACTAAGGCTATAAGGAGTGTTTCAGCCTGGACTGGACTTTTTGAATGAGGCACAATACAGGGCAGCCGATCACAAAAGAAGTTATTTACACAGGTCAGTCTTAAAGCTACATGAAAGAGTGAAATCAGAAAATTCTCAAACAAACTGTAGATTTTCTTGCTAGGTTAATTTACCGTTATTATTTATTATTATAAGCTTAATTTATTGATTTATTTGTTTATTGTTGGCAGTGAGTTGTTCTGTTTTAAACCACTGGTGTACCTTTAAGGGAATATTTACATCGTTTGTACCTTGATGAACAAAAATGTACCTGCACAGAACCTTTATTTCTAACAGTGATATGCTTTTTTTGAGGGGCACCGGGGGTCTAAGGTGCGCTAGCCTGTTGACAGGCCGTTGTTTCGTTGAGCTGTGTGTCCTGATAGAATGTGTTCTCAGTTCAGCGGAGGAGCACAAACAGACTGTCCGGTGAAATTACCTTTGCCCACCTTATGTGGAGATGTGCAGTGTTTTATGAATAGTTTATTGTCTTAATTTGTGCTTCACAAAAACACAACAAACAGCAGAGTAAACTCTCCTCGCGTGTCCTCGGGATGCTGTAGGACTTTTCGTGCTCTGAATTCCTCTAAACTCACTCGCTGAAACACAGAGAGATAAACAAACGCTAGATATGAATATTCAGAGAGCAAGTTCGCTCCATATCGTTCCAGCTCTAGAGGCTGCTGGAAAACATCGCAACAGTGCGGAAAAGCTGCCGTCCAGCTGCTGCCATTTAGTTGAGTATAATCCGCCGCGCACACCGCTGTATTTACTCTGCAGGCACTGCATATCTCACTAACTCAGCTCACACAGCCCACCACGCTGTCTGCCCCCCCAGCTACATCACCTCCTCAGAGCTGAGAGTCAGGTCTTTTATGCGGTTTTGAGGACCACATTAATCGATCAAAGTTAATAAACAGATGTTATTAAGGTCGACTGGATTCGTGCCTTATAATTCAGGTCCTCATTCAGAGAAGCTGAACTCGAATAAGCAGTTACAGCACGAGAGTCTCTTTTTCTTCTCTCAAATCATTTTAAAATAAGAAGAATTAAAATGGGAGCGTGCTTCTTCACACAGGCGAATTCTACTGTATAATAGCAAGACAGAAATCAAACACTACTATAATAATAATAATAATAATAATAATAATAATAATTATTATTATTATTATTATTATTAAACTGTTGTTGTTTTATTGGTATTAGAAAAGAGAAAAATGGCTGTTTTGATGTTTCTCCAAAAGCAATAGTTAATTAAAATTTAATTAATTAAAAGTTATTCGTTTGATTTAATTTGCGTCGAATAGATGGACAAGAAAATTCATATTTGAACATCCTGTTTCAGTGCGAGATTTAATATGTAGCTTCTGTTATTTTGTTGGGGTTTTTTGTGCTTGTACTCTTCAAGCATCCTTTACAAGACACGTAACATGATTTTCCATAATAATAATAATAACAATAATAATAATAATAATAATAATAATCTTATCTTTACATTTTAAGGAAGGTGATGGACTTGTGTTTTGTTGGATGTGAACTAAAAAGTTTTAATGACAAATTTAACAGTCTGGAGGACTGAGTGCACTCAGCCTTTCGTAGTGTTTACTTACGTAGTGCTTACAGCAATTCGCCAGCCAGTAACAGTGAGTGTCTATAGGCCTGTTTCTGTTCATGGATGACATGATTCACCCTTAACGACATAAACAGTGGAAGCAACATGGAGAAGATACTGTTTCAGCTCTGAAATGGCAGATATCATGTGGTTAATAAGGCGGTGAGTTATTGAGGCTCAGATTAAGATTTAAGATTAAAGATTAAGACTTCTTCCATCCTCCTTTCACCCAACAGGGATCTGAAAAGCAGCCAAAGCGACACACGTCTGACAATTGAATGTAAAAATACGAATTAATTCAGCTGAAATTTGATAAATCATGTTACAGGTCGGTGTTTGTTTGCAGAATGTGCTGCTGAGGACTTCTCTCTGACTGGAAGAAGAAAAAAGCACAAGACAAGCGATACGATTCACTTTAAACCTTTTTATTATTATTATTATTTGAACTACATTTACAGTTCTCACATCATCCCTCATTCATTTGAAAATACAATCGAAAATAAGTCAATAAATATCGTCTCGCACTTTTATAAAAAATAAAAGATGATCATTCTTTGCGTCGGTCAATGACATGGCAGTAAGAACAGAGACAACAAAGAGAGAAGAATATGAGACAGAGAGAAAGAGAGAGAGAGAGAGAGGGGGAGAGAGAGGTGAACAGGTGCAATAAGAGTTCTCCAGGCTCGCTCTAAAGCCCGAAGCGCGAGTTTCAGTCCTAAAATAAAATCTCTCATTCTGTACAAACACTGTCTACATATTTACATGGTTTATTTACACATCATAATAATAATAATAATAGTAATAATAATAACAGTTTTGTAGAGGTGGCTGAACAGTTACAGCACGTTCACAATCGATGATGAGCTACACTGAAATGTCCGTGTGGAGGAAAATAATCACCTACTGGAGCTAAACGGGTTAAAAAAGCTACGTTAGTGTCACTGATCCGGCTGTGTCAGCTCCCCATCAGCCTCACCTCTGTCTATCAGATACAGTCTTTCTGAGGCTACAGTGGGAAGGAAATAGTGCGTTTAGTTTACCTGATTCAAAACAGCGCGTCTGTTTCACGTGAATAAAACAGAATTATTGCCAAAAGTAAATAAACTGAGAGGGAAAGTTGTGAGATGATGTTTTGAGTGTGTGTGGAAACATACAGCGGTATTTTTCAGTGTATTGTCAGTATATTCCTATGTAAAATAAATATATTGCAATTTTAAACACATGCCATTTTTGAGTGGGCTGGTCCTGCAGGGCACCGTTTGTGAACGAGGACCCTTTGCTGGACTGAGGCCGCTCTGAGTGCGATATACTGAACACACATTGCAATATATTCATTTTACCGCACACACCACTCTGGGCTGTAGCCGCGTGTCCCGGATGTGCACCATTTGAACCAGGTGAACTTTAACGCACTACACTATACGAGTCCGTGTCATATGTGGCCTCCCGAGTCATTTGGAGTCGCTGGCGAGCCTCGTCATGGCCACTGCGCTCATGCTGGTCACGTGCGGCGGCGGTGGCGGCGGCGGGACCTGGCACATGCTGCACGGACACGGCATGCCCGCGCCCCAGTGCTGGAAGCTCGAGGCCGCGGGAGGAGCCTTCAGCAGTCCGTGGTGCGCTCGCACAGAGGCCACGGCGGAAAGGCCGGGTGCGCTGGCGGCGCTGGGCGGGAGGAGCGCATGATGCACCGCGTGCGAGGCGGCGGGGTGCGCGGGTAGAGGCGCCGCGTGGGCCAGCGCGCCGCACGCGGACGGGTGAAAAGCGGCGTGGTGGCCTGCCGCGCCCGCCGCCGTTGCTCCCGCCGCTGCTCCACCGGCAGCCGCAGCCGCCGCTGCCGCCGCCGCGCTCGCGCCGCCGCCGTAGATCTCGCTGACGAGCCGCTTCATCTCTTCCAGCGAGTTGCTGAGCATCAAAATGTAGTTGCGCGCGAGCAGTAGCGTGGCGATCTTGGAGAGCTTGCGCACAGAGGGCCCGTGCGCGTACGGCATGACCTCGCGCAGGCCGTCCATGGCGATGTTGAGGTCGTGCATGCGCTTGCGCTCGCGGCTGTTGATCTTGAGCCGGATGGTCTGCAGTTCGGACTCGGAGAGCAGCTTGCGGTCCTTCTTGGAGAACATCTTCAAGCCCAGCGCGCCGCCGCAGTCGTCCGCGACCGAGGCGGAGGAGAGCGCGCGGCCATCGATGCCTCCCAGATCGCCCGGAGAGTCGCCCTGCGTGGAGGACACGGCGCCCGAGAACCCGGCCGACTTCTTCATGGCGGCGGAGGAGAGGAACAGGTCGTCCGCTTCGGGAGAGGACGGACGGCTGGACACGCGGCTCGTGTCGGAGTCCATGGCGCGCGCGGCTGGGCTCTCAGCAGGTCACTCGAGGAGAGCAGAGTCTGGGCGCACGGAAGAGAGAGCGAGGTTAACACACACAGCAGAAATGATTTTTTTAACCTGAAAATCTACGTGCAAATCGACCCATGAACAAGCGCGAGCTCAGGAACGAGGGCCCTAAAGTTTTTTCACGAGCTTAATGAGACGGAAACTTTACTTGTAACCTTGTTTTTCCGAGTCTTAAACCGATCACAGACAGTAAGTTCGCGACTTTTTCCGACTTTACACAACGAGTATGAACTTACCGAGAAGCACGTGCACCGCACGCTGTCGCTGTTTCAATGTTGTTTGTCGGAAGTTTCACTTTGTTGTTGTTGTTATTCCGTGTGTGAGTCCGTGACGGCGCGTTTGGCACGCGGGGAGTGGCGCGGGCGTTTTATAAGCGCGCGCGCCCCCCGCCACCTGGACCCAAGTCAGTGGGACAATGTGACCGAGTTATTTTTTTTTTCTCTGAGAGTCCGTCAAGGACCAATGGGCTTCGTGCGAACCGAAGGAGGGGGAGGGGCTGTGAGGGGTGTGTGTCGGGGGGGGGGTGTTCAAATCTGATGTCAAGACAGAGAAACGAGGCTTCATTAAGTCAATCAGAGCCGCTCCGCATATGGCGCCGAGGAGCTTAGATCAGAAACCATCAGATAAAGCCCGCAGAGAAACACGACCACCCGCCAAACCCCCGAGCAGAGGAAGAGCTCAGACCCACTGAGAAACTGCGGCGAACTTTCAAACTTCAGCTGCATTTTATTCAGCAATAAAGTGAGATTACACACAGATACAGACAGAGAGAAAGAGGCAAAAAGTGCAGTTTAGATTAGAATATATCCTATCAGTGCAAAAGCATAAGAGACGATTATGTAAACAAATAAACAAATAAATAAATAAAATTTTAAATGTACCTTTAGTTTCTAAACAGAATGTCTGATGCGTCACTCATAACTTTATTAAGATCACTTATGAAGATCTGAGTGAAGGTCAGAACTTCAGCGTGCACTCAGTGACACGCGCGCGCGCAGGGAGCTTATTGTTTTAACCCGGCGACCCCTGCGGGCGCCTGACAGCTGATGGCGCGCGCGACCGGTTTCAGCCGTTAGAATGCGTTTAAAATGATTAATAAACGGAGCGTGAAGAACTGATTTAACGGCTCTGTTCAGAGAGAGAGAGAGAGAGAGAGAGAGAGAGAGAGAGAGAGAGACCAACAAGTAGGCCGGTGGGATTAGAATAAATAAAAATACACTGCGATGATATTAATACAGTTATTATTATTATTATTATTATTATTATTATTATTATTATTAATGTTAATTATGTTATTTTATCCATTATGCAGAAGAGCCAACACTGAGAAGTTATAGTTCACGGTGGTTTAGCTCACTGTACATTTTGGTTACTTATGATCTCTATTATAGTTTATTGTAGGTCTATAAAGAACAGTTGGACTGTGTTTCTCTGATTTGCTCCATCAGAGTGGACCCAGGGGGTGCAAAGAGGAAAAGAAAAGAAAAGAAAAGAAAAGAAAAAAAAGAAAAGAAAAGAAAAGAAAAGCTCCCACAACCTGCGTGTGTAAGAGCGCTAAGTTGATCAGCTGCGCTCCGCAGGTAGAAATCTGGCACTCCTCGGTCTCTCTCGGTCTTTAGGAAAGAGTCCTCACCAAATCAAGGTCGTTAGCATATTTTTACTTTGTTTATTTATTTATTCATTTAATTTTTTTTTCGTTCACACTGCGAGCGCGTGTTGTTTGGTTGTTTCCCGCGCGGACAGTCCCGTCTGTTTGCTTGTTTACCCACGCTAAATAAGATTATGCTAATGAGACGGTTTAAAACCGGCGAGAAGTTGCGTTTTAATCACCGGAGTTCATCTCCGTTCATTATGAATTCCGGTAATCTCACTTGTTAAGTGGACCCAAATGGTAATATATGCTGAAACTGTCTGGATTAGAAGCGCGGAGAGTTTGAGCAACAGAAAAGAAAAGAGAGGCTGCAGTTCAGCTCAGACGCATATGATTATCTGAAATGTCAACCAGGAAGGAGGCGCTGTGTATCTCACACACACACACACACACGCGCGCGCGCATGCTGACTGACAACTGCCTAGGGAGCAATTACAGAGGCAGAGGAGGGCTTCAGTGAGCCGGGCTCTTTGAGCATGTTGCCTCTGGGCTAATTAAGGACACAGGCTGCAAAAATCTCGAGCTCAAAAATCATCTTTCTCTTGCAGCAAGGTACACCACATAGAAAAGATTAGTATGTGAAAGTTGGAGTTTCTGTGGGCTTGACCTAAACAAAAGAGACACCAGTAACTTCCAGAGTGGCCAAATCTGCCAAACTCAACTTCAGAATGAGCAGAAAAAGCAGTGGAGGCATGAAGCCAACATGCTGCGTCCAAACTTCACAGTTCAGGTGCAGAAAATGGAAGTGCTTAATGAAGAAGACATTAGCACATACACATCTGCTTATCTGCTAATCACAGGCTAGAGTTCTCCCATTTAGAGAGAGAGAGGGAGAGAGAGAGAGCTTTTGCCACCTGTAGGTGGATAAGCGATGCTGTTGAAATGAATGTGGGTGTTAATTCTGAATGTTGGCTCTCTTCTCTTTCCATTACGTTTATGAGATAATGACTTTTGTAACGTACATTTTGTGTGTGGAGAGCTAATGAGGCCAGCGCTCATAAGAAGACAAGGCACAAACTCACAAACTGCAGGGCCATGAACAGAGCTGCTTCCAGCTGTAAGCAGTATAAGCAGTCACTCTGGGCCTCTGAGCCATCCAGGCCTGGATCATCCAATGGGTCTTATGGGCAGGTGCCCAGGGGCCTGGGTCACTAGAGGGCCCCCATGAGCAATTATAACAAAATTTAAACAGCTGTTTTCACTCCAGGTGGGAGCTTCGCTAGCAGCACAGCAGAAAAAAAAAACTAATTTCACATTTGTTGTTGTGTTACAGCCAATCACAATCCTGACATTTTTCATGTTTTCCTGAACATTTTCTAATCCAGTCACTACTTAGCAGCCGTTCAACTACCTGCATTAACTTCAGTCAAGCTTTGAGGTTTTAGCAGTGAGCTAGTGTTCCTTTGAATGTACTTTGAACTTAAATCTTCAAATATTGTGCCCTGAGGATGAGCAAAAAAGCCAGCGCTGATAGTCCTACAGAGTAGTCCATTTCCAAAGCCAAAATATACATACATACATACGCACACACAGACACATACACACACACACACACACACACACATATATGTATATTTATATCAGTCACCCAAATTGAAGAAAAAAGTTGGATTATCTTTGTTGGTGATCTGCAAACTGTCTACTTCTGCTCATAATGAATCAGAGGTAAGATGGAAACAAAACAAAAAAATTTCCATGATCGTTGTTGCAGTATGCTTTAGCTTAGCCTGTAGCTTGACAATTTGGGTTTGCTTGTGTTTTTCATCTTTATTATGGACATTTCAGCTGTGTGATTTTAATTTGTTGTCTTCACTGAGGTAAGTGTTTTGCTTGTGAAGAGTGGACGCATGCTTAATAGGTAAACTTTGCATTGGTTGTTGGGTTTATGGTAACCTGTGTTCCTGTTACTGTGTGTGTAATCTTGCTATTGTTTTGTCTCAATTGAAAAAAAATGCCTTTGAAGCAGTGGCATGCTCAACACTGCAGTTAATAGGCAGTCATAGTGGTGCTGCAAACCCTCATGTAACCTGCTGTGATTTGTGCCCTGACTATCAAAAAAGGTAGCCAGGTTGGGGCCTACCACACATTTGTGCTCAGGTGCTGATAAAATGATGGAATATATTTCAAAGTAAAAATGTTTGATGTATGATATAAATGAACTGAATCAACATTTATGAAAGTGTTTTACTGTATTGAAATGCAATTTTTAGTGCGGGATTTGTTCACAGTTTAAGAAACCTGCCATCTGTGCTGTCTTTTTTATCTCAAGACGGCAATCTTTGTGGAGATGTATGAATTGTTTTAAAAGCAGTAGGTGCTCACCCCTCCCCTTTCACCACCTCATTGCTCACTGGCAGCTCAATACAGAGTCACAAAATTTCATACACATAGAGATTCAACAGTGTCCTGGTTAATCTGATAACAGAGTTGTGGGGAAACAATTCATTTGGATAACCTACTGTAGATGCTCATATTGCATTTAACCCTCTAGTGTCCACAAATATGCCTACGCATCAAATTTAATGTTTCTATAGTTGTTTCTCTGTCATTGCTGTACTACAGCACAGAAATACCGTTCAAACATTTCCTGAATCTGTAGAGTCGCCCTTTTGAATCTTACTGAATCTTAAGATTGTATGTGACTCACATCTGGAGTTATGAGGCTATGAAGAGGGGTTGAGATCTCTCACCATGTGTAGATCTCAGGAACTGTGGCAGAGGGGTCATCTGCCTCTCACTGAGTGTACTTGGTGGATTCTTGTGTCTGTCTACATTTTATGTGAGACTGACCAATGGACACTCAGGAAATCACCTAATCACTCCGGACTTACCCATCACATCATTGTTCAGTCAATATGAGAGACATATGTGAAATGGCGTGCAAAGAAAAAACCCATAGACCCCAGAATTCAAGTAAATATTCCATTGACCTTAATTGTCCCTAACCTTAAACCTGAATCTAGCCCTAACATTAACCTAAGCCCAACACCTGAACCTAACCCCAACTCTGGTCTTAAGCCCAACCCTGGTACTAACACTTACACTTAGGATTAGGACTGTTTAGAGCCAACAAAGTATCCCCAGATAGTTTGTTAATAATTATAGATAATCTACTGGGGGATGCCCAAATAAAGTGGGACCAAAATAATGTAATTGATTACATTAATTAAAAATTACATTGTTTTCTTATTGAACTTGATTAAGTATTAATTTTTGTTCTATTCTGGCATATAAAAGACTCTGATTGGGTGGGTGGGGCATGAGGGACCCCAAGTAGGATGCATCTTAGGCCTCCAAATGTTCAGAAATGGCTCTGGTCCTAAAGGGTTGTAAGTATGTGTGTGAAATGTGCCTAAATTGCAAATTCACTTAGAAACTTTACGTTTTCAGACATCAGATAACAGACTTTGAGAAATCACTTCAGAAAGACAGAGGCAGAACTGTGAAAACTCTCCTCCGACCTCAATGCCTGTTTCTAGAGCCACACACGGACCCTTAGGGTTTAAAGGGTTACCACACTTTACGCCCCCTTCAATTTGTTTTGTGTTTAATTTTAAGTGATTCCCACCAAACTCTCTCTCTCTCTCAGTCTGGGTGGCAGTTGGTTCTGTGTTGTGGTGAATACCAATGGTGAGGAGGAGCATATGTGAGCCACTCTTAATCCTGCTAATCTTCCTCTAAAAT